TATAAAAAATTAGAAAAGAAAATAGAAGATAATAATAATAAAATTGTAAAACAAATAGAAAAACAAATAGATAAAAAACTTGAAGCTGCAGAGAAAAAACTCTATATATATATATAGAATATAGATATAGAACAGAAAATAGAGTTGCAGAAATGTAATTTAGAAGTTAAAATTAACGAAGACAGGAGAAAGACAGAAGAAAAATTAGACGATATACAACAAAATATCCAAATAAATAGTAATCAAATAAGAAATGTGGAACAGAGAATAGATGATATTTCACAAATGAGAGACATAGGGAGACCTTACTTAAATTTAGCAAATGACACTGGGATTAAATTCTCTGGTAATATCAAAAATTTGCATCCTAGAGTATACATAAATAGTTTAAAACATAAATTAAGATTAGTGAATAATATTAATGATATTAAAGATTATATTAGAATGACATTAAGTGATAATGCGACAACTTGGTTTGCCAGTGTTGAGAATGATTTGGACAATTTTCAAACATTTGAAAATAAAATTTTTAAATTATTATTGAAGAGTTTAGTTACCAGTTCAGTTACCAGTTCAGTTCAGTTATCAGTTAGTAGTCAGTATGTTTAGTTATCAGTTAGAGTTCAGTTATCAGTCAGTCAGTTAGTTAGTTAAGTTATCAGTTAGAGGAAGTCAAGTACAGATTATTATTAGTCAGTTAGTTACAGATTATGATTAGTTACAAGAAGATTATTTATCAGTTAGTGGAGTTAGTTAGAAGAAATTAAATCAGTTACAAGATTATTAAGTGAATTAATTTGAAGCTAGAAGAAGGCATTGATTAAGTTAAATGAAGTACAATAAAATAAGTACAGTGAAGTACAGTTAAATAAGTCAACTACACTTGGAGATTAATTATTTCTACTGTAATATAGTGATAGTATGAAGTTAATTCATTGAAGTAAGCATTCAATAATACAACCACAAGATCCAGTATATTTGAAAGTACATTATATGGAAATTACAAGGATATAAATTTATCTATTTATATGGTGAGTGGAGATAATTAAGAAGAAGCATATTAAAATTGTTGGATAACCAAGGCTGAGTAAGAAAATATCGAGTGGTGATAATAATTTTAATTTTGGAAAAACTTTAGGCGTTCAGTGAAAGAAGGTATCAAATTTTGTTAATAATTTAATAATTGTAAGAATTTCAAATTTTAGATAGATTGTTTTAAATTGATATTGCTTACATTAGATAGATAGGTTGTTTCATAATAGTTATAATAAAGATAATTTAAAAAAGTACTTACAAACTAATTCTTTGAGAACCTGATAAAAACCCTATACTTACATATATCATTCAAATTTACTCATTGGTCATACAACAACAACACATCATAACAATATATATATATATATATATATTATATATATATATATATATATATATATTAATGTGATATTAAAAGTCTGAGGTACGCCAAGCAATGAATTAGCTAATTAATTAATCAATTAAACTTATTTAAATGATACAATTATGATTCTATTACACTATTTAATTCTCTTACCTCAGGGTTATACTCGTGCTTCAATATCTATGCGTTACATATAATAGGTAAGGTCCAAAGAATACCGGAATAATAAAAAACATATATGGTACAACATTATAATTGAAATAAAAATATATTGAAATAAAATTCACACTCAAATATCTTTAATAAAAGTATCTCATATAATGATTATCAAAATTTTGTTCTACGTACGTGAACCTTAAAAATTAATGGTACATACTATATAAATTAAAATCTCAAATCAAAATTGTTGTTCTAAATCTCCTGATCAATATATTCCTATCTTTTCTAAAGCAATCGTAAAAAAATGTGTTGTTAATAAAGAAAAACTGACAAATAGTAAAACTATCTCTCTGATGATGAGTTGTCCAAATCCTTGTTCCTTGTAGCCTACACTACCTATTCTTAGCAGTCGCCTAGGTAATCAACAATCTTACAACAAATTTTTGCGAGCCTATCATCTTTAATGATCTCCTTTAAATGCACGTATCGTTCAAATGATGCTAGCCTCTTCTCCTCTCGATAAACTGAATTTCTCGTTCTGGCCTGAACAGTGACTCTTGGAATATAAGTAGAAAAATATAACTTACAATATTTTACTGAATCAGATTCTGTCAGATACACTTAGTCCACGAAAACTCACAAACATTTACTTTTACTGCTTACTACCTCTTGGGAACCACCAGAGAACAATGACTGTTCGCCTTGCACATTTGGAAAACAACTGATTATCTTTTTTTCCTCAAAAATCTAGCTAAACTCTGATTCTTACATACCTATCCCACTTTTTTCAATCTCCTCCCATCAAAGCTCGTCATATGTATCCCCATCTCTTCATTTAGATAACAAACAACAATTTTACCTACAATTATAAATTTCCTAAAAACTATTAACATGGTAATCGGTTTTTACAAATTCTTAAGAACTAACGGAGAAATATATTTTCTAAACAAACTATTCTATTGTAATATTCACTGTACAAGTCCATTTGGAAAACCCGCTCGCATTGTTCATGATTTCACTTAAGCTCACTCCTGTCACTCGCATATATTTTACAAAGATAATAATTTATGCATATCTTAAATTTTATTTACTACAGGTAATCCAGGATAATGGATTTTCATTTCTTCGAAATATCTTTTATAGTTTATTAGTTGAATTATTTGAATTACTATATTTTGTACTTTGAAATATATTAAGAGTAAACCAATAATATTTTCAATTTTACATAACATAACAATATATATTTTAATGTAATCATAATAAGTAATAAATAATTTTTCTTCGTTATGTGCCATCTCCGCTACGAAGGTTGGCAATCATCGTAGGTATTTTTATTTTTGAGGCAGTAGCTCTTAATAGTTGTCTTAAGCTGCAAACCGTTTTCTTAGGTTCTTAAGCCATAAAAGTCGTTTTCTTCCAAAGCTTCTTCTGCCACCTATCTTTCCTTGCACTATGAGTCGCAGGATGCCATACTTCTCGCCCGCATCACATATCCGAGATATGTACGTAATAGCGTATGTATGTAACTTTCTTTCTTTAATTGTAAGTTTAACTTCTTTCTCTTTACCTATTCTTATCAGTACTTCATTGTTCGTAACTCTATCTAACCAGGAAACCCTCATAATTCTTCTATGGGTCCACATTTCATAGGCGTTAAGTCGTTTTACTGTATCTAGATTTAACGTCCATGATTTCACTTCATAGTATAGTACACTGTATACGGAATATTTCGTTAGGCGTACTTTAAGAGCTATAAGAGCTAATGTTAAAACTTTGCCACACAGGACCTTTTTCATTTTTATAAAATTAGAACGTGCTTTTTCGATTCTGACTTTGATTTCTGCAGTGTAGTCATTATTTTTATCTGCTCATAAACACCATAAAGAGGAGAAAAACAGAATACTTCGGTCATATAATTAGAGGACCTAAATACCATTTACTTCGCCTTATAATACAAGGAAAAGTGGAAAGAAAGAGATGGATTGGTCGAAAGAAACTTTCATGGCTGCGTAATATTAGACAATGGTGTGGTTTCACAGTAGAAGAATTATTTCGCGCAGCAGCGACAGAAAAGGTTTTAGGAAATTGTAAAACATGATGACGGCCAACGTCTGAATACGGACACGACACCCAAAGAAGAAGAAGAAGTCATTATTTTCTGCAGAACTAATCTGACTTGACAATGGCAAGTGTGACCTTGCCGAAACGTCGCCAAAACAATGGTTTTTCTAAAAACAAAAAACTATTTAAGGCGGAGTCAAACCCGGAAAACAACTGAAACTATATACCAATTTATTACAATCTGCATTTTTTACAAAGTAAGCATAAAAAAATTTATGCCGCTACAATAATTTCTAAACGTCTTCCTTATGTAAATTACTAGAAAAAAATTTAAATAGACAGTTACAATTCTTTTTAGAATCAAAAAAACTTAATAGTTAATCAGCAAAGTGGCTTTAGGAAAAATAGAAGCACAACTGACAATTTAGTGTCGCTAGAATCGGCAGTTAATGAGGCATTTCCAAAATCTTCACTTTCATTTTGAAGATTACGTCTCAGTTTACAATACGCAAGCAAGCTATCAACTAATCCAAATAACCCGGCCTACATATATGCTTTCTCCACATATTACCATTCTAATTACAACTAAAATCCTTATCTTCAACCATTATTTAGCAAAAGAATTAGCAACTTCACATTTCCGGGTATTATGCATACCAATATTGATCATACTTCCCCTTGAACTATACAAATTCCATATTGTAACACAAATCTGTCAACTGTCTAAGGACAATACCCCTTCATCTCTGTTTCTCCAATACTTCTATGTTATTAAAAATAAACACCCGAATTGGAAACAGTGGGATCCGCCATTGTCACAGAAAATTCTGTGCTCAAATTCCCACTACCTAAGGACTACTCACTATGTTCTGATTTCTTCAGTGCAGTAACAAAAAAACAAATTTCTTTAATTTACTATTGTTTGTATTTTGAGAACGACTTACGAAGTGGAAATTGAAACGTCAATAAACTTACGTTAACTTTTAATTCTGCCTTATTCCCATTTAAATAGTAATTGATTTCAAAGTCAGTTGAAAATACGTTTATTTTGACCTATGATCGTTTAAAAATCCAAATATACACGTATTTTCAACTTAAATTGTGGTTAATTACTATTAAAGATGATTGTTATTAACTGTTTAATATAGAGAATACTACTATTATTTACACCTTTTATTAACACCTTTCCTTTACAAAGAAAAAACCACAAAATAATTCTTTTCGGACAACCTCCTGAACTGACCGAAGAGAAATTAGAGACAACGAACGCAATGTAAATGTCGATTCCCGAAATAACCCACCAACTAACCGGGCATCAACCGACGGCGTCAGAGGCGTCGTTTGTCGGCGTTTTCAGCGTTGAGGAGCGTCAGTTCTCGCCATGACGGACGACAGGCCACACGTACTGCCGCGCGCTAAGGGCCGCTCGGCCTCGATTTGCGCTACGAGTTTGGAAGCTATTCCGCCATCCGGTGCTTCCCCGGAAAGTAGCAGAAGAAGGAGACCGGCCGCTCGGTCTCAGAGTGCCAGGTTGACTAACAACAGGAGATCGGTCAAAAACAGACCAGTCACCTCAACCGCTAACAGTGTCAAAAGCCAGAGTAACAGTGAACCCAAGTTGACTGACGATATCACGCCTGAAGTATCACCACATATCAGAAGGAAAGGCTCACAGAGAAGAGGTACTTCCGTTTATCAAAGAAAGTCTACGGCGTTCTTGGACGTACCTGATACGCGCTCCAAAAACAATTTTAATCCCGAAGAAGAAGATGAGGATTCGTACAGATTGAGATCTTTCAGTTTCACCTCTAAAGGTTGGTTGAACATAAAAATGTTTTGATATTCATTTATTTATTTTGTACAAAACTAACTATTTTTTAAACATCCAACAGTAATAACCAAAAAAGTATGCATTTAGTAAATGTTTATAACATCATAAAATAACGACGATTTGGATTTTAATAAAAGCTATCATAATTGTCATTTACATGGTAAAGCATCTACAAGTTGTACAGTTTTTAAAACTTGTTAGCAGTTTTTCTTCTTGTACGCCTTTCTATTGCTTTCACTGGAAGTATTGAAAAATTTAAAAAATATTTATTAATTCTCACGCTTACCTTTATCTATTATTGATTTGTTTTTGGATTTTAAATTTCTTTTGTAGTAGATTCTTTACTAAGAGGTTCTGAATTAATTTAGTGGTAGATCTATAAACAAGCAATAAACAGGGGGATTTTCAGACTGAGGCGCTTTTCACAGCGTAACATAACGTAAGGTTACACATGAGGAACAGAAACTAAACAAATTTTGGTAAAATAGTATTAAATATTAAATTGTTTCTTGCTTATTTTTAAAAATGTTCAAATAATTTTGGTCTATTTTACGTTTTGTCGACAAAGTTAACAGAAAAGTATGATTTTAAAGAAGGATTATTCGTTCAGTCACTCAGGCTTACATCAAGTCTTTAATTTCAAAATTGGTATTTATGCAGCCCAAAATTCATTATTATTATTATTATTATCATCAACGTAGATGTTTCTGTTAACTTTAATTGTTTACTTTCAGTTCTGTAACCATATAAATTAAATACATGTAAGTTTAACATTTTTACAAAAAAACTGCTTGGTTTATTCAATTTAGTCATAGTGCTCGTTAGGTTAGAATCTTCTTCTTCTTGTGGTGCCTATCCGTTACGGATGTTGGCTACTAGCATGGCAATTCTAACTTTATTGACCACAGCTTGAAATAGTCCTGAAGTGGTCAAAGAAAACCATTTTCGTAAGTTCTGGAGCCAAGATATTCTTCTTCTTCCTGGTCCTCTCCGCTTTTTTATATTATATTACATTAGTTTTATGTTTAAAATCTTGTACGAACTGGTACCGTGGTACAAAATCTGTACTACCCCATAACTAAAAAAACAAAAACTTTGTTGCAAAAAAAAACATTCGATTTTGTATCAATAGTAGATAATTAACCCCTTTATGTGTTTTTCTTTATCAATTTGTAAATAAAAGTATTGTTGCTTCACTAGGGCATTATTTTCATAAATACTTTGTTACCCAAAGCGTTAATATTGTAATTGCTTCTGCAAACAATATGTCCGCTATTTTCTCTGCATATTTTTGGAGGCAGTTTAATTATTTCCTTCTTCCATTGTTCTAAACCAATTTTTTGTGGCAATTTATTAGTATTTAGATATTATAATGAATAATAATAAAATTGCAAAAAAAGTCTTATACTAGTTAATATCTTATAGAACATTATAATGGTATTCTATCCGGTTAACAATAGTGCTTTCTCCATAAACTGTTGTTTCTCTCCTGCTAACCTGTTGTTGTTATCAATATGTCCTCGAAGATACTTTGTCTCAGCACCATGTAACCTATTGTACAGTCATACGTCGCCATGTTACCAATTCCAACGGTAACTTGAATATCTTAATTTTTAATTATATATAATGTAACAAAAATTTAAATTAACAACATTTAACGGGTTTTTACCCATATATTTTAGTGGCTCATAGCATGTATACTTCGTTACACTGATGATGGAATTTACATTCCGAAAACGTTCTGTAATGTAATTGTGATATAGCCCGTTTGGTTATTTTATTATATACCTTTTATAAAGGATTTGAAATAAAAAAAATTTGTGATATATGGTGTGCAGCCAGCTACAGGAACTTAGTTTCCTAGTGGATTTTGGGAAACGTTAAAGACTCATCAAAGTACATCTTATTTGTTATTTATTTACATAATGGAATTTTAATATTTTCATCTATAGAATTGGGTCTGTTCTTAAGGCGACAACGCATATATTCAGGTATTAAGCCTCCACCTTCGTGAATATTAATTTTTTTTATTAACTCTTTTCTCTTGTCTGAGAACATATCTACATAAATATTCGCTCCCCTTGTCATGATCAGCCATTTCCCAAAAATTGTTAAATTAATTAAGTCTATCATTTTCAGATAACTTTGATTTACATTTTCTGTTATATTTATCGGTACATCCATTCTCTTATTTTCGGTAATTTTCTAGTTTTACTAGTATATTTTTGCCTAGAGTTTCACATTCATTCATTCATTTTTTAAAGACTTGAATTCATTTGTCTCTCCCTTCCCAGATTTTTCTTCTTTATGTATTGCTTTTTCTTAACCGACATATTTAATGATGAACTCAAACCTTTTGTGAATGTAGAAGTATCCTCTATCGATATATCTCGAAAATATAATGCAATGTGAACATTTGTGCACCTTATTTTATCACTAGAAGTTAGTTCGGTCGTAAATGATAGCTGCTATTATTTTTTTTTTAATTCAAAACTGGTATTTTCACGAGAGTTCTTAAGATTTAAAACATGCTCACTATGTTCAGCAGTTAATAATACAGAATTTACTTCTTGTCTGTCATCTTTTTGATGCCTGGTAAATTGAGTTGAATTTCATTCATAGTAATATTCCACTACCTTGCTTTCTTGTATCACAACTTACAATGAAGTTGTGATACAAGATTAGACTTTTTTTCACTTAACTTAATTGTTATACAAGACTTAATAATTTTTTCAAGAAAAGCATTGTATACAATGTTACGTGTTTATCAAAAATATTTATCAATAATAGTATTTTTCAATATTGTAACATTGGTTTCAACGTTTTTTCTACCAAGTGATTCAAAATTTGCACTTACAATGAGGTTTTTTTTGGTAAATAATTTTATATTTACATACAAAGATAGAATAAAAGTTTATTATACCAAAATGATGCTTATCCTTTATAGATGTTATTTAATGTATAGTTGAAAAACATTGTAAGTAGAGTTACAATGTTATTCATATCAGTTGTCGGTTGTCGGTTTCGCGAACATTCTGCAGCATGTTTTTGGTTTAAACTGCCGTGTCTACTTCGTATTGTTTGCAAGGATATAAATCGATCATCTGCAGCCATAGTTAAACGTTTTCTTCCTTGCTCCCTTCTTCTTACATACTCTCAGGTTTGTCTCCAATGACTTACACAATGGTGGATGGTTGATGGTGGTTTACTAAACACAGCAGCAACTTCCCTGTACGATCGACCGTTTTCGACCATTATTATGGCCCTAGCAATATCATTATCATCATCATCACCCAACTCTTTGCGTCTACTGCTGGACATAGGCCGTCCTCATTTTTGTCCATTGTGCACCTTTCATCACTGATTCGGGCGACGTGTCTGGTCCAGTTCCATTTCATTAGCAATATCAGTTGGTATTAAATTACTGATTTTTACTTGCTCTTTGCAATAAGAACACCACTGATTAAACCAAATAAAAAAAAATCACTTTTAAAAAACAAATTTATTAATTGAATGCAAATTTGTACTAGTAATCGACAGATAATATGACTTTTATCGTAGCGTGAAGCATTCAAAGCTATCTAGATATAGTCTCTAAAATAGAAATATAAAGCTATACATTGCATTAATAACCTGTTCCTTTAAATATATATATATATATATATATATATATATATATATATATATATATATAATAGTTCATTAAAAGAAAAGGTTGAAAGGTTTCTTTTTAAAGAAATATGTAGATGACATGGTCTTAGCTATACCCAACAATACGATAGATGAACTACTATTTATATTCAATAGCTACGATCCTTACATGCAGTTTACCATGGAAGTCGAAGATGAAAATTAATCTATTCCTTTCATAGACACTAAATTAATCCGCTCAAATGATAACATCATTATAGTTGATTGGTACACAAAATCAATGAGTTCAGGCAGGTACATTAACTACATGTCCTATCATAAACACTCCACCAAACTAAACTTAGTAAAACAAATGAAAAATAGGGTTCTACAAATTTCAGATATATCATTCCATCAAAAGAATCTCAAAATACTTTATGATCTCTTTATAGAGAATTCCTATCCACCTGTTCTTTTAAAAACACTTTTATATAATACTACATCAGTAACATCTATCAATCTAACTACCTCCGAACATTCGAACATAGCAAGTACTAGTTCACAGAATACTGTTACCAGCCAAACCCTTTTAACATATTGTGTGCTGCCCTACATACGGGAACTAACACCAAAACTAACTAGAATCTTTAAATCATATGATAACATTAAAATAACCAATAAAACAGTTTTAACAGTAAACTCTATTTCTCAAAAATGAAAGATCGTACTCCTCATGACCAAATATCTAATGTGGTTTACAGCATCCCTTGTATGGACTGTAATGGGAAGTACATCGGCCAAACCTCTAGACGTCTTAAAGACCGTGTTACCACTCACAAAAGTGACTGTAGACTTTACCCAGATAGATGCACCCTAGCCAACCACGTTCACACCCATAACCACAGAATGAATTTTGCAGATGTCAAAATCCTCGAAAAAGAAACAGCATATAAGAGAAGACTTTTTTTAGAAATAACCCACATTGCAACAACAGATAATATAATCAACACAAAATCAGATATACAACACCTTAGTGAAATTTATTCCTTTCTGCTGCAGTTGGAAACAAAAAATAATCAAGTCAACGAATTGTAATATTCTGAATAGTATAATATTGTCTATTAAAACTCTTCTGACCATCCAATTGAAGTAGAAACTTAATCAATATTACTGCAATTGTGCATTTTTCCAGAAAATAAAAAAAATTTAAAAGTAATAACAATAATTAAAATAACTTTAAAAGAAATAATCACAAAGAAATAAATAAATTCTATATGTATTTATTATTAACATAATTTAATTGTCTTAAATTAACATAACATTATTTTCAATTAAGTGTAACTTAACACATAAACTAACACAGCTTTAGTTCTCTGGCT